CGCCACGGGGAGCCGAGTGGGCCACACACTGCTAGGGAAGGAGGAGATGCCACCACCGCTGAAGCCCAGCCCTGCCAGCAAGGTGCTGGTCACCACTGAGGCCACGGTGGCCTGGCTGCCGCTGGAGGAAGGCCCCATCCCTGTGGCCATGGACACGAAGGAGAAGGGGAGCCCCGAGGAGGTCCAGGTGGAGGAGCCAGAGCTGATGGGAGCCATGTCGGCTGAGGAGGCAGGAGATGCTGTGGGCTTGAGGAGGTCACCGGCAGCAGAGGGAAAGAAAACACAGCAGAGAGCATCAGCAGGGGCCCCAACATGCTACCTGGGGTCATTTTTCTTTTGCTTTTCCCTCCCTTTCATGCCATTCTGGTTGCTATTCTCTTAAAATGAGAGACTTACACCAGCTGGATGCAGGGCCAAGCCAGGAACGGGACATGCCACAGAGCTACATGGCAAACCACAAAAGGAGGAAACCTCCCTGCATTCACCACTTCCAAACAATCATTATCATGAAAAACCTCTTTATCCTTATCTTTATTTTACAGGGACCTTCTCCACCCACATCACTGGTGACTTGGGAGTAACGTTTCCTCTCAGGGGTGAGGAGGATGTAAAGGAGTTTAGTGAGTTCAGCTGCATTACTCACAGTGCTTTAATCCTCAGAATACAGAAATTTAAAAATGCAGCATTATGTAAGGGCTGTCCCAAAATAAGGGCTGTGCTGCCAACGTGAGCATCCGTGGCTGGTGGGTCTGCTCTGGCAGGGAACTCTGGCTCTTCCCACACACATTATGAGGGCCTCAAACAGTACTATTTTTATTTCCTTAATTTACCCATAAGCATTATTCTCCTAAGGACTGGTGCTGCAGTGAGGCATTGCTCTCGTCAGAAAAAAACTGTAGCACAGCCAGCTGGGCACTCGTGAAGGACTTGGAGAGCATCAGGAGCCCTTTGGCAAGTCACCACGACCTCTACCAGGACCACCAGGCTGTGGCACCCATGTATAGGCTCAGCTTTACCCATCCACAGGGCTCTCCCTGGCCACCACCAGCGACCCAGAGCCAGGGCTGGCACTGCCCCCCTTCCCTCGGGGAGCTGAGAGGAAGGAGGGAATGAACCACGGACTTTGCATCCTCTGCACCCTGCCACTGTTAGTCTAATGTCAAGCCAGTGCACGCATGCTCGCACGTGGGTCTCTGTGAACACATGTGTATGCTCTACCGGAAATAAAAAACCTTGCTATATACTTAAAGAACTAGACAAGTCATTCCCCTTCCTGAGTTACAGGAAAAAGACGCTGAAGTGAGTTGACTAAGGACAAAGAGTAATTCTGTGGAAGAGCTGGGGTCAGCAGTTCTGCCTGACAACCTGACCACGTTCCCTCTCTGACTTACTGAAAAATGTCTCACGTTACTGAATTCATCAGCAAGAGGAGCATTAGTTGGAAAGGTACGCATCAGACAAGGACAAACAAGGGTTAAATAGGTGCTACTGAACATTGAACAGAACTGTAAAATGTTTATTTTTGGAACTGAAATTTACAACTTAACAGTATTTCTGCATTTCTCTGCAATTCCCAGTTTCAGTCAGGCCATGTAGTTGAAATGCTGCAGCAAACCAAGAAAGGCTGCCTTCTCATGTAATTTTTGACCAGCTGCAATCACAGAGAACCTGAGATCTCAGAAGAAAACCTGTGCTTTAGAGATTTCAAGCCAAAACTTTAAATAAGCATCTAAACTTTCAGATACTTATCAGTGTGAATCCCTAAGGCACTGTGAGATTTGCTTTTTGCTGGCATGTAGTGTCTCAAAGCTGGACTGAGTATTAAAATTTGACAGCAGATTTGATATGTCTAGAATACCTCTATACATCATTAAACAAACATTAATCATTCAAATTCAAGCTTTGTATGTGTTATTTGCTTACTAGGGAGTATATCAAACTGGAACAGAATAAAACCAGAAGCAATGTACTTAGAGTAAATTCAATAGTATGAATTCAGTCCATAAATATGACTGAACATTGACTGAATTTCTTGGCATTCAGTATACTGAATGCCAAGAAATTTAGGTTATGGATAGTTTATGTTAAATAACCTAATAAGGTGCTTTCAAAACTGAAACAGTGTATTCCGGTTTTACTGTAAATATATCAACATTTCTGATTCTGGAATACAAAAGTCAGTTTCAGTGACTCGTTACAGTCTCACCTGAATTAAAATTAAAACAAAGAACTTGTTAAGGCTTTAGTCACACAATAGCAGGTATCCTTAAAGCACTGAAAGAGCAAAGATGCTGTGCGTGAAGCCTTTGTCCTGTTGCATATACTTCTGGTCATACAGTTAATAAAAGGAATTAAATTTATTTCCACAGTCATCATTAAGATTACAAATCCTCCCTAAATGGGTTGAATACGTATTTGGGAAGATTTTTTGACACTTGATTCTCCAGTGGGCAAAGCCTCTCGGAGCATGAAGCTAGAAAACCAAAACCCTTCCAATATTTTAGGTATAAAACCTTTTGTGGCGGGTTTGAACAACCACCTCCCCAGGAAAGCCTGGTCCTGCCGCAGATTTACAACATCGTGCTGCCACCTGGTGGGAATGCCACCCCAAATTACCGCTGCCCATCCGCGCTCTGCAGTGATTTATGTCCACGACTTACCACTCCTGTTTTCACAATTCTGGTCCCCTCGAAAATTCGAGTAGTGTTAGCTGAGAAACAAAGAACAACAGCGTGTCAGCGGACTGGGAAGGGAGGCATTGCTAAAATTGCTAAACAATTGCTGAACATTGCTACTACAAAACATGTATGCAGGTCTCAGTTTGGAGTAAAAGCAACTCAGCTCGTTTCGTATTACTCACCTTACTTTGTAATTGTGTCTAAAGACAGATTTGTTTGTCTTTAATTACTCAGGCCTGGCAGTGCCTGTTTAAGTGCACTGCCAGAAAACACATGCTCTCCTTCAAACCCAACTTGGATAAAATGTCCTGACTTACACAGGAAGCAAGAGCAGCTGCTGATAAGATTTTTTCCTGCCCTTATGATAATATTATTATTTATTGCTATTTATCTCAACTATAACTATAATCTGCCTCCGAAGAACGTTTTGAAAGCTCAAGTGGATTCTTCTTCTAGGTTAGATCTTGGGTACAGCCAAAGGGTAGAACAGCTCCTTTTTGTTTTTGGGGAGACATGGAAGGAAATGCAACATCTACTCCCATTGGAGATCACCTCCACTGTTTGGAACACTGGGCTAGAGTACCCAAAGGGTATCTGGCAAAACTGTCAATAATGATTTACTCTTAACTGTAATTAAATAGGTAGCATGGTCAAATTTCAAAGAACTTTTCCATTCTATTATCTGCCGAAAGAGGCCATAATCAGTAATATACAAGTTTCTGACTTCTGCCTGGTACTTAAAGTGAAGTCCAAATCACTAGGCTGAGAGCTACATACAAGATATTGCTTGGATAGGACATCTCTTGTCCGATCCCTGCTCTCCCTGCGATGCTGCTAACACTGTGGCATGACATCAGAACAGAACTAAATTGTGTCCACAGCTTGATATCCTTCAGATGCTAAGTGCTAACAGAGTAGGACTAAAACCTCCACATTTTCCAAAAATCACACTTAAAAATGCCTCTCTCATTTTCTTCCATACACAGCATCAGGCCCAAGTGACTTAACTCTTTGCTTCACCTTAAGGATTTAAATTTTTAACTCTCTGCTTGTTTTGTTTGTCCACTACCCATTCCAAGGTTTATACACCTGTAAACTGGAGTGGGAGGGAGTGCTCTCAGCAGAGGTGAATTTTGCCCTACTTAAGAAAAAAAGTAGTCATAAATTCCTAGGAAGGAGCAAAACTTCAGCACTTAAAAAACTCAAAAAGCATCAAGTTCTTCTACTGAATCTCAGCTTTACCAGATTTCTCCAATAAACTTAAAAGAAAATCTGTAACAAAGGACAGCTTAGCATCCAGTTCTTTAGCTTTCATTTAAATATGTATGCTTTGGAAATCACTGAGGTTGTGCGCACGGTAAAACCTGAACATCTCCACATGTGGTTGTCAAGGTAGAACTGATCTCCTTTCCTCTTTACACAAAACAGACACCGATCAGACTCACATTCTGCTACAGCTGTGCCTCTGATGCATAAGAAGTCTCTGATGAATTTGTTTTAGAAAACTAGCACCAAGAAAAGCTCTGAATTCTCCTAAAATCTGACGAGCCCTGCCAGAAGAGAGGTGTAGGCAAACCCCCATCACTAGAAATAGGACTCTCTTAAGTCACTGGCCACAATCTGAAATTAGCATTGTCTCCATGCATTCAAACATCTTCTGAAATCATTCCACACCACATTGCACTCTGCAAAGAAAATGTTAAGCACACAAAGACTCATAAGGTAAAAATATGTATGTGGTCTTTTTACCTTGAAAGAGCATAGTCTGGCTAAAGTCACTACGCATTTCATTTCGGCAAACTGCTTGAACTCTGAACAGATAAAGGATGTCAGGTGAGACATGGCTAATGATGGCCTTCTGTTTAAAAAAAATAGATATTATTCAGTTTTTTACCCCCACAGTACCACGATCAGTTTGAAATATATAAAGCATTGCGCTAACACAGGACATTTCTGCGCTGTAAGACAAACTTATTTCTAAACAGAAATATTCACCGGTCCCCTGGAAGAGGGCAAGGCCAAGGTCAAAGGACTTCCCTGGGATAAAAGTGATGCACCCAAGACTCGGCTGACTCTGCCCACATGAAAGAAATGAACGCGTCCCACATCTACTCTCATGACAGTCCTTCATGCCTGAAAGTCTCTGCTCTCCTCAGAAAAACCTAAACCCCAAATCATTTGGCCTTACAGGAATTAAAATGAGATTTTTATAGGTGGAGATGCAAGTCCCAAACCTGGGATGAGCCCAGAAAAGTCACTGTATGTTCAAACTGACTATTTAATTTGCAACAAACTGGCTATGGCAATTTGACGCCAGTCGCCTGTGTAATACGATGGCTCGGCACCCTGGACTGGGATGTCCCTGTGTACTTTTACACCTGAGACACTGCCTTGCTGCCTCCCGGCTACTCTTTTGTTTTGCCTTAGTCCATGATCACATCAGTTCATGTCTCGCAGCAGACAGCAGCAGTAGCTGTGTGGGTCACTTGAAATACCAGTGATCCCTTTAGCAAAACACTGTCTAGCTCTGTTTCAAGACGGGAAAGCCCAGCTGCCTCTGCCAGAGCACTGAAAGCAAATTGCACTTTCCTCTGAAGAAGAGTTTCCTTCTTCTTTTACCCCTAAAATAGACTAAGCTGTCATTGCTTTCTTAACCTCCAAGCTCTGCTGCACAGCACAGGGTCTCATTGCAATTTATTTCCAAGCTATCACTCCATCACATCCCCTACGCTTTTAATTATTTCTTTTACATAAAACAGGATGCTGTCACTGTGCCCACCTCATTTTTGCTGATTAAGGCTCTCCTCCTTATACCTGATTAAAAAATATCTCCCTTAAGAGTGTGAAGTTATGACAAGAGAGAGGTTACAATACATAGTAACCTTGGGTGCCTTTCAATAGATTCCTTTCTGATTTCGTGAGGCACATCGTTCCCTAATGTGACCCAGATAACAATGTCTAGTGGGGAAATTGAAAATATAAATGGAAATGAAGTAAAAGAATCTTCATCTAAGGGAATAAGAGAAGTATTATTGTATAACTGATTGAATGGGCCCAGAGGACTGTGTATTTAAAAAAAAAAAAATACGATAACAGTCATTAGGAATAACACTCTGTGCTGCTGCATTTTTCATGTGCATATACAATTACCGATTTCATTATTCTAGAGGCTTTCTTTGATTAACAATAAACGGAGGCCTTTCAAACCTGAATATGTCACTTTGATTTTATATGCAGAGAATGTTAAAGACCGGTACAATACTTGCTTCCACTTAGACAGGAATGACAAGCAGATCAAATCCTAAATGGAGGAGATAGATCAGTGTTTCCATCTGTGCTGGAACTGTCTTCCTCTTCCCTCTTTTTCTGCCACTGCCAGATGTAGGCAGTGCTTGTACAGGGCCACTCCACAATAATCTTGTAGCCCTGACCACACAACTCCTACTGCTGGCAGCACTTACTGCCAGAAACTGCTCCAAAGACTGCAAGGGGCTATGCACAGTGAAAAGCCTGAGCCCAGGAACAGATTTTGGGGGATCAGACTTTTAATGTGAAAATCTGTGAGCTGAATACAAGCCAAAAGGTATTCAGAGCCTAACTATTTCCCGAGCCAGCTGCTTCTCAGCCACAGTATCTGAAAAAGTATCTGCAAATTTAGTCCTTTATGCACTCATATAAACTACAAATTCACACTCCAGTGTTTTGGGTAGTCTGTTAGGCAATGGTCAACTAACGCTGAACATTTTAACAGCAATCCATTGCGAGTCAAACACTAGCCTGTCTGTAAGGTAACAACTGCTTTCCTCCTCTGCTTCCTTCTACTGAGAAAATAACAATATAAGGATAGCTTGATACATATGTCTGGGGTTGATGCAGTGGTTTTACCAGGTCCTTGTCACTGTCCTTGGTGAAAGTCTTCTCCTTTTCGTCTTCATTTTTAGTCCAGCTATATGAGATCATGTAGTTCATGATCGGAGGGTGGTAGATGGTTTCTGGTTGGTTCCAGGTTACAAGTAATGCTGTCCTGTTCACAGGCTGCACTTTCATGTTGACCGGGGGAGTGCTGCAAGCTAAAAAACAGAAGGAAAAAATATGAAGCTCTCCTAAATAACCGAGAGAAAACAAACAGAAAGAACTGTGCCTCACTCTAAGAGCCAGTTTTTTTCTTTAATGCCTTTGCCTACAGTAATAGTTTAGACTGCAATCCACTGAGACCAATGGGATTTAATACCACCTGCAGCTGCTTTCTGCTCTCCAGAGTAAAGGGAGCAAGAGAATCCATTCTCTGCAGGCAGGTTGCTTAGTTCTCGACTTATTTTCAGTCCTGACGTTTGCACGTACACTTTAACTTGGTCAGTTAAGAGCTCTGCACTGGAACATTAAGAAGTCCAATCAACCTGAGCCCCAGCTTCCCTGGCCCACAGCCTCCTGCCGTATGACGGGGGTAAATACTCCAGTGTGCTCTGCAGACCCTGGAAACAGTTGGAACCTCTGAAAATGTGACACTATTGGGTGAGTAAGTATTTTCCTCTTAACCTAGTACATTTTTGCACGTGAGCAGAAGTTACTTTATACTCCTCCTTCTATATATTTTCCTTCATAGATTCTCAACTGTTTGTCAGTAATG